GTTGCCCTGAAAGTTGGCTATTTTTACTATTGACGAATTTTTCTTTTTTAATTTGCGCTTTTTCAAAAAAAAATATCGATTATTTACCAGGATTTTTTTCTCCAATTTTATGTTCCACAAACCTTCCCTGGGGTCATGTGAGGTCCCACACAGAATTTCAGCCGTTTTGATGTTGACGGACAAGCAAAGCATAAAACAGAAAGAAGTGACTTGCCCATTCCTACTACAGGAAACCATATCTACGGTATCGGAAGTTGATCAGGTTTTTATGTGAATCGGGGCATTGCTATTTTTGTGAAGAGAGTCACTTAAAATAACGCTTCTAGTCCCTTAAAAAGCATCAAAAAGTTTTGAAAATTGCCAGTTAATGTTTAATTTTTCATTGCCCTCCCCCAAACAATTAATCGAAATCAACATTTCATGGAGGAATCCTAATTTTTGAAAATATATTAATTTGTATTGTTTATATTTAGGTCAATATTTGGACTGTTTCAAGGATGGTTCGATTCAGTATTCAACAAAGGTAAACTTTTAAAAATGTGTTCAGTATTTCCTTGGACGGTGTTCACCAGGGGTGTATATTTTTTTTAAAACTAACCATAGAAGAATACAATTTCTACAATAACTCCTTTGGTTTTATTATTCCTGACTCCTGTGATAATGATATTCGCCATGCATACACTTAGATTTACCAATGAAGTATTTAAATGATAACTGTCCTATGTTGAGACAGAATTTAATTTGATTATATGAAGAGATTAACATGTTAGAAATATAAAAGAAATTACTGTAGTGCTAAGGATCCATTTAATTTTGATGCAGATCCGGATCCTGGATCCGCACTGGAAAAAAATGTATCTAGATCCAGGTCATTTATTTAAGATTTCGGAATTTTTTTAACAAAAAATAATTTTCAATTTTTTGTTTATTTTTTTTCGCTTATTTTTATCTTAAAACTAGATGAATCATTCAGAAATGAGGAAATTTTTTTGTAATCTCTTTTCAAAAGTTCAGATTTGGGTTTTAGGATTAAAAGTTTTTTTTGCAGTTTTTGGTTGATATTTTACCCCCATGGATCCGCATATTTTTTTGCAGATCCGGATCCAGGAAGCCAAAATCTTCCGGATCTAACGGATCCAGATCCGGATCCGGATTCTAACCACTGGAAATTAGGAACACAGGGATTTTCAGAGATGGTTGTGATAATGTGTAAATATCATTAATGATTTAGTTGATGAGTAAAACACTGTGGTTTTCAATGAGAGGGGGAAGGGATATTTTCATGTAAATATGGAAACCTCATTTATGGTTAAGTTGAGGAGGAAAACACAGTGATTTTCAAGGAGGGGTAAATATTCAGATGAAAATATGTAAATTTCATTAATAATTTAGTTGATCAGAAGAACTCAGTGATTTTTGAGGAAGGGATATTCTCATGAAAATATGGAAACTCCATTTATGATTTAGTTGATGAGGCTCGGATTAAAGAGGTTGGAGTAGATAGAGCAGCTGCTGAATGGGTTCTCAGGTTAATAAATTATAGATATTAAAGGGACTGTAAGCGTAATTTTAAGTGACCCTCCAAGCTAAGATAGCAATGCCAGATTTACAACGGTACCCTTGAAACCTTAATCTGATAAAAAATGTGGAAGATGACGTCGATTTTTTTACTTGAAAAGTGTTATTTCTTTGAATTTCTCCATTGTTTCTCAAAAGAAAGAAATGCGCAATCCATTTTCGCAGAAAAACCAAATCGCAAATGAAAGTAAAACTGTTTAAATAAACAAAAACAAAGGTATTGAATTCACACTTGATCAGACAAAGCTTTTAAGGGCGCCCTTGGGAGCCAACAATTGCCTTTTTGTATAGAGGGCTACTTGAAATTACGGTTACAGCCCATATAATAGATGTACTTGTAAAAACATAAATTTTAGTTGATGCTGAACCAATGACTGAAGACGTAATTTTAAGTGAATCATTGATAGTGGGATTGATTAACAATGGTACCTTAGATGCTTTTCTGACAAATCCATGTTTTTCTTTTTCTAAATTTTCTAATATGATTTCTCTCAAAAAATTGACTTGCGGATTTCTACTGAAGAAACAAAAGGGAGGAAGCGATAAGAAAACCTCCTTATTATTATCAGTTAAAGGATTAAATGGTATCTTTGTGAATCGGGTAAGAGCCATGTCTTTAAACTTTAAATTGGTCTTTAAGGTTTAATTAAAAACCGGCTAAAGTGCCCCCCAGCATTGTCTGTGGAATCTTAAATAATTAATTACTGTGCTGAAACGGTTTAACTAAGGAATATGCCTCTGTCAAATGTTGCCCCCAGCTGTAAACTTTAGAATAGTGGAGATCGAGATCAATGCTTGATCTCTTCTTTTTGCTTGTTCTCCTTGTGTTATTAATCTCAAGTTTAATTTACTGATGGGGATTAGGGATATCCCAGTCTAACGTTTTCCGATCAGGTGAGAGTATATATAATAGATATAACATTTTAAATTGTTACTAAGTGTCACTTGACTGAATTTGATGAATTTTGAACTGCCTACTGTCCGTTCAAATTTGAATCCGTGATTCAAAACCTTCCTTAATCTTTAACTTTAAAGCATAACATAATATAACATACACACACTTGCTTTTATACAAGATTTAATATTGAAGATGATTTTGACAACGCCCTGCTTTTAGTACAAATAAGTTTAAATCTAAATAAACCTATGCCTGCAGTTGAAAAAAAATGGATCCGGATCTGGAGTCAGGTCATGAACATTCTTTAAGATTTACAGATTTGTAAGAAGAATTTTCAACTTTATTTCTTTCTTTTTTCGCCTATTTTTGTGCTTAATCTTCATGAACCATTTAGAAATAACAAAAAAACAGTTCAGATTTGGGTTTTGAGAGCAAAAGTTTTTTTTTTGTCAATATTTAATTGATATTTTGCCACTTGGATCCAGATCCGGGAAGCAAAAATGTTGCGGTTCCAACTTAGCCGAATTCTATGTACGGATAAAACCTCTATTAATTAGGTGTGGTGGAGGAGTGAAGTGGGAGGGGGGAGGAAGAATGTTGACGGATTATAATGCCCTCCCCGCAGGGAATTACAGGTATTTATTTTTTCATGACATTCTACAACTAACTTGTTATAACATTAAAATAATAACATGCTCTTTCTAGCACTAACATACTCGTTATATAAATAATGGCACATCATAGCACCAACATTCTCGTTATATAAATAATGGCACGTCCTAGCACTAAAATGCTTGTTTTATATATAATGGAACGTCCTGGAGCTAACATGCTCAATATATAAATAATGATATTCTCTAGCACTAACATGCTCATTATATAACTAATGGCATGTCCTAGCACTAACATGCTCGTTATATAAATAATGCACGCCCAAGCACTAACTAGCTTGTTATATAAATAATGGCACGTCCTAGCACTACCATGCTTGTTATATAAATAATGGCACGTCCTAGCACTAACATGCTCGTTATATAAATAATGGCATGTCCTAGCACCAACATGCTCGTCATATAAACCTAGCACTAATATGCTGGTTATATAAATAATGGCATGTCCTAGCACTAACATGCTCGTTATATAAATAATGGCATGTCCTAGCACTAGCATGCTCGTTATATAAATAATGGCATGTCTTAGCACTAACATGCTTGTTATATAAATAATGGCACTTCCTAGCACTAACATGCTCGTTATATAAATAATGGCACGTCCTAGCACTAACATGCTAGTTATATAAATAATGGCATGTCCTAGCACCAACATGCTCGTCATATAAATGATGGCACGTCCTAGCACTAACATGCTGGTTATATTAATAATGGCATGTCCTAGCACTAACATGCTCGTTATATAAATAATGGCATGTCTTAGCACTAACATGCTCGTTATATAAATAATGGCATGTCCTAGCACTAGCATGCTCGTTATATAAATAATGGCACAACATGCTCTCTATATAAATAATGGCATGTCCTAGCACTAACATCCTCATTATATAAATAATGGCATGTCCTAGCACTAACATGCTCATTATATAAATAATGGCATGTCCTAGCACCAACATGCTCTCTATATAAATAATGGCATGTCCTAGCACTAACATCCTCATTATATAAATAATGGCATGTCCTAGCACTAACATGCTCGTTATATAAATAATGGCACGTCCTAGCACTAACATGCTCGTTATGTGAATAATAGCAGGTCCTAGCACTAACGTGCTCCTTATATAAATAATTGACATCCTAGCACTAACAATAACATGCTCAATATATAAGTAATGGCTTGTCCTAGCACTGACGGGCTTGTTACATCAATAATGGCACGTCCTAGCAATAATGTGCTCGTTATATAAATAATGGCCCGTCCTAACACTCACGTGCTATAAATAATGGCCCGTCCTAACACTCACGTGCTTGTTATATAAATAATGGCATGTCCTAGCACTATCGTACTCGTTATATAAATTATGGCACATCCTAACACTAACGTGCTTGTTATATAAATAATGGCACGTCCTAACACTAACGTGCTCGTTATATAAATAATGGCATGTCATAGCACTAACAATAACATGCTCAATATATAAATAATGGCATGTCCTAGCATTAAAAGTAACATGCTCAATATATAAATAATGGCATGTCCTAGCATTAACGTGCTCGTTTTATAATTAATGGCCATTACGTGCTCATTAAATAAATTATGGCACGTACATGCTCATTATATACGTAATGGCATTTCCTAGCACTAACATGCTCGTTATATAAATAATGGCACGTCATAGCACTAACGTGCTCGTTATATAAATAATGGCATGTTCTAGAACTATTAGGCTTGTTATATAAATAATAGCATGTCCTAGCACTAATAGGCTTGTTATATAAATAAAAGCACATCCTAGCACTAATAGGCTTGTTATATAAATAATAGCATGTCCTTGCACTAACATGCTATTTAAATAAATAATGGCACGTCCAAGCACTAACTAGCATGTTTTATGAATAATGGCACGTCCTAGCACTAACGTGCTATTTAAATAAATAATGGCACGTCCTAGCACTAACGTGCTTGTTTTAAAAATAAGCATTTGTAAGTACGTTTAGAAAAAATAAAGCAATCAAATCTAGATAAATCTGAACGATCTAAGAAACGAAGGAAAAAGAATTTACTAGATGACAGACTAATGAATTTTTGATGAATGAAACATTCTTTGTTATTAAACTAATGAGTTTCCTGAACTCTTAAGATTGCTGAAATTAAACTAATGAATTTCCTAAAACTCTAAGATTGCCGAAATTAAACTATGCGTTTCCTAGAACTCTTAGATTGTCAATATTAAACTAATGAATTTCCTAAAACTCTAAGATTGCCGAAATTAAACTATGAGTTTCCTAGAACTCTAAGATTGTCAATATTAAACTAATGAATTTCATAGAACTTTAAGATTGCTGATATTAAACTAATTAATTTCCTAGTGCTCTAAGATTGCTGATATTAAACTAATGAGTTTTCTAGAACTCTAAGATTGCTGATATTAAACTAATGAATTTCCTAGAACTCTGAGATTACTGATATTAAACTAATTAGTTTCCTAAAACTCTAAGATTGTCAATATTAAACTAATGAGTTTCCTAGAACTGTAAGATTGCTGTTAATAAACTAATGAATTTCCTAGAACTCTGAGATTACTGATATTAAACTAATGAGTTTCCTAAAACTCTAAGATTGTCAATATTAAACTAATGAGTTTCCTAAAACTCTAAGATTGTCAATATTAAACTAATGAGTTTCCTAGAACTCTAAGATTGTCAATATTAAACTAATGAATTTCCTAGAACTCTTAAGATTGCTAATATTAAACTAATGAGTTTCCTAGAACTGTAAGATTGCTGATATTAAACTAATGAGTTTCTTAGAACTCTAAGATTGCTGATATTAAACTAATG